TCTACCCTGTCCCTATCCAAGATGTTGGTGACAGAAACCATTCACATACTAAAACTCATAAAACAGTAAAAATCCCCCAAAGTAAAAAAACAATTCTCTATGCATTAATAAGGAAGTAAGCCAGGTGTGGTGGCTCACGCCTGCTATCCAGCATTCCAGAGGCTAAGATGGAAAGATTCCTCTGAATTTGAAGCCAAAAGGGCCACAGCATGAGAGACCATCTCCACCCCCCAAAAGAAAAGAAAAGCAGTTTTGGCTGAAAGAAGTTCTAGTAACAAAAGGAAGCAATACTGCCTGTCCTGAGCGGTCCAGTCTGACCAGGCAGACAGCATCCACCTGGCCAGATCTCTCCACCCACCCTACAGCTGGAAAGGCAAGATTGTGTCTCTCTACAGAAATGACAACTTCTCTGCCAGAGTCTGTGTGAACATGAAATGTGACAAAGCACAGAAGAGCAATTTAGGGATGAGACTTGCACCAGGAGCCCCAGGTTCCCACCTCAAGCAGCACTGGGAACAGAGCTTCAGGGAAGTCGCCCACACTGACCCTGCTGGGCTGCTCAGCTGTGAGGAAGTGTTGCCTGAGGTTCACATTGCTGCTCCTCAAACCCCAGCCCCCCTCTGCTGCCATAGAGCCTAGCACAGAGCAAAGGCAGGAGGAGCTGCTTCCCTGTGACCCCAGAGGGGGAAGGGGGTGCTCTCCAGTCATCCCAGCTCACAGACCTCCTTTGGAACAGAGAGAGTATCTTCATTTAGCTCTTACTTTGAAAGAAAATCTTTTCTTACTTGTTAGTTGAAGGACTTTTTACTAGACAGTGGTTAATGGAGGTTCACAACCAGTCAAAGTGTAAAGAATAAGTTGTCTATGGGTCATTCAGCCAACGATAGGACACTTCTTCACCCCTCCTCCCAAGACTCAGGGAACATTGTAGAAAAAGGGGTAGAAAGACTGCAGGAGCCAGCAGTCAGGGAGGACTGGGCCAAAACAGTATCTTCTGGACATGACATAACTGCTACACTCCTGAACCCACAGCAGCTGTGGTTGGGTTGCTGCAGAAGACCCACATAACATCAAGCCAGTCAACACTGTAGCATGGAGGAGGGAGGGGCTCTCGGGGTCCTACCCTAACCATGGGAATGGCTGCTAGGGGAGAATCAGTCTTCTTTAGGGTTTGGCCTCTAGTAGGCTGCCTATGCTACCATGGGTGGCCCCCACGCCCATGTATATATGGGCGGCACACATTGGACTCAGTGGGTTATTTGAAAGAAAAAAAAGAGGGCATGAAATTGGGAAGTGGCTGCTGGGGAAGGGGATGTGGGAAGAATTGGAGGGGAGAAGAAAGGGTGAATCTGATCAAAATATTTTGTGTGCAGATATGAAATTCTCAAAGAATAAATTAACAATATAAAAATAAGATACTTATTACAAAAGTTTAAAAAAAGAAAAAGGCATTATTAAATAAACCAGCAATAAACGCTAAGGACAAAACAGTCAACAATGTTAAGTCCAGCACCATATGTTCCTTTCCAGCCTTCCAAGGGCAGGCCTCCCACTGGATTCTCACACACTTGCTGGCAGAGCAGTACATGGAAAAAAAAAATCCCGGGGGCTGGAGAGATGCTGGCTACTCTTGCAAAGGAGCTGGGTTCAATTCCCAGCACCCACATGGTGGCTAACAACCATCTGTAACTCCAGTTTCAGGGGATCCAATGCCCTCTCTGACTTCTGTGGGCACTGTGAGACACGGGTGCACTTACATACATGCAGGCAATACACTCAAACACATAAAATAAAAATAATACTTTTTTTTTCAGGAGCTGAGGACTGAACCCAGGGCCTTGTGCTTGCTAGGCAAGTGTGATAATAAATACCTTAAAAAAAAAAAATCCTTGGTGAACTTCACCCTCTAACAAATAGAGTAATCAGCCCAACCCCAGGCACTCAAGACAAGGACCCAACAAAGCCAGAACAGGAGCCCCGAACCCATAATGGTACTGCCTGTGCCTTCTCCTTTACGAAGTAATCACAGGACTGCCCCAAATAGAAAACACCAAGGTCAGAGTTCCCTAAAGCGGCCTGCCTGAATTTCACACTGCCCCTAGGAGTGCTCCAGCACATTGCATTGGCGATTTGCACAGCAGGCAGGTGAGACAGGCTGACAGCTTCCTGGGCTATTTTAGGGATAAAGGCTGCATGTCTGGAACCTGCGTTTCCAAAAAAGCAGTTCAGGAAGATATTCCTATCCACACAAGGGTTAAAGCTAGCAAGCCTGCAAGCACAGTGTTTATATTTAAGTTTTCCCAAGGGGCCCCACACCTCAAAGCACAGCCTGGGAGAGGTAAGAAAGCTGCTTGCCTGCCATTGTGGCCTGTGTTTCCCCCCCAACGCATTCTCCACCAAGCAAGCTGAGGCAGTGGAAAATCGAGAAGAGGCTAGGAAGACTTGAAGAGCTTGAAGGGCCAGGATTCTCATTGGTAACTACATGTATCTCTCCTCCACTCCTCGAAGCTGAACACCAGGTGTCTCCCTACTGTGTGCACAACCCCCATGGAGCCACAGAGCTGCTCTGATTAGAACTTAAAGCATGATGGTCCCCAGCATGCACCCCCTTCCTGCCCAGAGACTGCAAGTCTCCAAGTCATCAGAGACCTGGAGATAACGGTTATATTCTCCCTCAAGAGAAAAAACACTCTTTAGTTCAACTAATGTAGATTATGTGTACTGTTCCACGTGCATTCGCATACCTACACACCTATATCTATGCACATACACAACTGTTTACTATAGGGCAAATATAGTCCCATACCAACCTAGAATGTCGTGCACTCATCACCAGACTGCTGCAGCCACAGCAATTGCAAATGTTCTATTATGAAACCTGATGACGGATCAAACTGCCACCCTCTTCCTCTCGTCCCACTCTGCCCACCCAGTGAGGTCTGTGAAGAAAGGAGAGAGATTCAAGCTGCTTTCCTGCAGGTGTAGAGCAGTGGTTGCTAAAGCATCCCCTGATGCTTGTAGGCAGGTAGCTTGGCAAGCTTGAACCCTTCGGCTGAGTGCTGTGCTGTGTGCAGCTCCTGGACCCCTAATAAACACACCATCTCTCTCCACGATCCTAGGCACAAGGATCTTTTCTGACCACTCCAGAGATCAAGACCTATTTTAAGCCACCCTAAATCACACTCCTTACACTTAACAAGCCATCAACCTTGTGCCTCTATCCCTGATCCCAAGGTTCCCTCAGGGAGATGGTACCACAAAGAGGAAATTCTATATCAGACAAAGGCTTTAATGAGAGGATGGTACCTGTGGCAGAAAAACATCACCATAAATACATGCCAGCAAACAGCCACTAATGCCTTTGCCTAAAGGACCTCATGGTGACTCTGAGGTCCAGGCAGGAACTCAGTGGGTACCGGCAAGAAGCAGGATTTGAATGACCAGCAGCAGATGATATTATTCTTCATGACCTGTGCGCAGTGATAGTAAGCAGCTCTGCTTCAAAACTTCTCTGGGGTTACTAAGAAGTAAATAACTGCTTAAAATGTCAGTAACATGTTTACCCTTCTCACACCCAGATCTTCACCATCCTTGTTCATAACTAGGCCTTACCCAGCACAGTATCCCTATTTTACCTTGAGATGAAAGAGCCTTGCTGCATTCTCCTGGGTGGATTTAAATCCTAGGAGCTGAGATCAACACTGAATCACAGATGCTCACAGTATAAAGTCTGCCAAACCAGAGCACTGGGTTGTTACAAAGCCAATATGGAAAGCAGCTGTCCAGGGCCGGAGGCCCCTAATGAGCACAGTGGAAAATGTAGGGTGGTAAATAAAAGGTCTATTTAGAGTACTGTTAGCCACAACCAATGGTCCTCCTTTAAAACAGACCCACTCAAAGTCTTGCATGGTGATGGGGAACCTCCAAGGCCAGCTGTGGCTCTGCCCATCCACACTGCAACGTGGCAAGGTTGCAGAACACTCCCTTCAGAGCCCAGCCAACCTTTCCCAGCTCCACCTCCCTACAGCAGCAGGGTGTCCAGACCCAGTCCCAGGGCCTGTGTCTCCGCACTTGCATTCTTGATGGGTTGAACTAGAGTGTCACTACAGAGCCTGTGCTAAGCACACACCGGCTTGGGTTAATCCAAAGTACACACAACACCAAAAAATAAAATAAAAATAAAGCCACATCATGTACAAGGGCACTCCCATGTGTCCATCAACACTGGTTGCGTGTACTTCACGGATAAATTCGGTCTAACACTGGCCTGCCAGGAAGCCATGGAACCTGAAACAGCAGCACAGGGCACAACTGGGAACCTAGCCACCATCCACCTTTCAAAGAGAGCTGAACTGCTTGCTGCAAAGCAGCGATATTGTAAAATTCGTCCCTGTAAAAGCCGGCAGACGGAGGGCTTGGGGTGATTGCAGTTGTGCACAACTCCAGCAACCCTCTCTAGATAATCAGGGTCTGGACACTACACCATGAAAGTAGCTCAGGCTCGCGCCCTCCTTACACAGCGCTATTGCCTTCAGCTTCTTTTGATGCTTAGCAAGAGAGCCAATGTCAAGACAGAAGTTTCTCAGATTTACCAAAAGACGAGCTCAGTCAAGACGCCGCGGGTGGTCGGCCTCCAGCTCTGCTCTCTTTGGGTCGCGCGCCCCAGGGGCAACCTCACCCCAGCACCCGAGTCCTGCTTACTACAATCGATCCCTGCCCCAGCCCTGCCAGGCTTTCAGATCCCCTCCACCAGGAAGGCCTAACTTTACAGACCCCACAAACGGGACGCAAGACGGAATATCCACCCTCGCGTCCAGCCGCTGGCAAAGTGCTGGCGTGGCCTCCACCCACGAGGAACCTGGGACCCCTGGGCAGCAGGACTCTCCCTTTAAACCTCGGCTCCCCGGACCTCAGGTGTTTTCAGAACCTTGGGAGCCATCTGGAACCCGCCCGGCCTCCCGGCCGCGCCCTGCACCCCCACGTCCGCGCCAGAGCCTCACCACCCGTGTCCTCGAATCGCGGAGGCGGGCGATCCCGCAGCGCGGCGCTCCAGCCCGCGCCCACCTCGTCCTCCTCCGGCTCCGGGGGGTCCGCGACGCGGGGTGGCGGGGCGGCCCCCGAAGGCGCCGGGCGCTCGCGCTCATCATCCGAGGAGGCGGCCGAGGAGGAACGGGAGGCGGCCGAGGTGCTGTAGAAAGGGTTCCCACCGCTGTCCGGGCCCGACTCGCCGAACACGTCGTCCGAGATGTGCAGGCTCTCGTAGCGCGCGCGGGCCGCCTCCAGCAGCGCCGGCGCCCTCCTCCGCGCGCCCCCGCCGCCCTCAGCCATGGCCCCG